ATGTTCAGCTGGCATTTTCTTTTTCCAGTGCCCGGGCATCTCCCCATTAAGCCTTGGTTCATTCTCTGCCCTGTCTTCTCCCAGTCTCTACAAACACTTTACATGTCTCGATTCTGTGAGCCTCAGCTCTTGTGTTCTTGTAATTTTCAACTTTGTCAAGTTGTGTGTGCCTCTGGAAACCCACAAGCTGCCTGCTCTCTGGCCCCGTTTGGCGCTTCTCTGGTCCTCATTATTCCCAAAGGAGAAGATTTTAGGGTGTGTGGGATGGTCTCAGAGCAGACATCTCCCAGTGTGGTGAAATCTGGGATCTTAGCACTTTGGAGGCTGAAGCAGGAGGATGAGGAGTTTGAGAGCACCCTGGGCTGCAGTACAGGCCTTTGCTGATGTACATTCAACAATACCTCGGGTTTCCCCCAGGAAACTGGGGATCACTGAGCCTAGTCAGTCTATTTGGTGCGCCTTTTGAACTTCAGTCACTCTGGTAAAGGTGTTAGGCTCCAACAGCTGATTACATTTCCCCAATGCCTGCTCTCTGGTCAACAAGATGGTACTTTCTGGGATCTGGGGATGGCTGCAGTCAGCCTTCCTGTAACTGGTGGAGGTGAGTTTCAACTCCTCTGCCTGGGGTACTCTTCCCTCATGCTAATAAGGCCTTGCACCCCGTTCTCATAAGCATTGCTGGTCCTTAGCACTCTCATGTCCGGGTCTTTGTACTCACACTGGTCGCTGAAGATGCTGGTGTCAGGGCCCCGGGGGTGGAGATGATGAGGTGGGCTGTCACTCACAGTGGTGGTAGCCTGAACAAAGTTCCCTTCTGCTTGGGCTCACGGTCCACTCTAAAGGCTCCATGGCCAGGTCTCCTGAAGTGTGTGAGCACTGTGGGGGGTGGCGGCTTGGAGATCGGGGTGGGATCCTTATAACTCCTAACCCCATGACTCACGGTCAGCTCTCGCTCCTGCCTGGCCTTGGCCACCTCTACCTTTTCTGGTGTTTCAGAACTCACATTCTGGAAGTTAAGCACGTGCTCTGTTCCTCACAGCCGCCTCTCTAACCAAGGGTACCACATATACCTGGCCCCGGCTTTCTCGTTCTGTGCTACCCATTCATATTCACCATCAAAAGCATCACCTGAGGTTTGTGCTCCCTTCCCCCTAGTGGTTCAGGGACACTATTGATCTTTCATTTCTCTATTCCTTCTGGAAATACCCAGAGAAGGGAAACATGGCTCTGGGGAAGCCATCTCGCATGGAAATGCATAGTGTGAAACACACTGTAGTCGCCCAACCACGAGCAAAGTCTGGCAGAGATCCCACGGCCAAGTGATTGGCAACAAAGCCTTTCCTACCACAGCAAGCAGTCTGGAAAGGAGAGGAATGGGCGCATTTTAAAGGCGCTGCTCTCAGACAGAATGGCACTGCTTTCAATGGACGGTTCAGGTTAGACAGGTAGAACACACCCTCTCATCCTGCGGGCAGGTATACAGCCACCAAGGGCCAGAGCACCACACTGGTCCAGTAGTGGGGAAGGTACCAGCAGGATGCTGAGTAACATCTGCTTCATGGTCACCGAGGAGTAGCATGGTCTTACTGGGTGTGTTTGGGGGCTGGGCTTCCACTATGGTTGAGGGAGACAATCTGAACTATTCATGGAACTTCCACTGAGGACACAGCCTGCCTCAGGATTCCCCTCCCTACTCTTTGTATACACAGCCTCACAGGGAATTCTCCAAATGTTTGAGAGAGCGAGCAGATGTTCTCACGAACCCACTAGCAATGCTCCAAGGAGCCTCAAGCCTGGTTTTAAACATCCACACGGACAAATTCAACATTAAAAAGGGCAGCCAAGGTTAATGCCTCAGAAACTCAGCGTGAGAGTCGTCCAGAGGACAAGGCAGCTTACAGAAGCAAGGCATTCATGTTTATCAAATGATTTCTGAACGCTGCTTTAGTTTGTGTGCAGATATATGTATGTACGTGGGTACATGCATGTCACAGCATGCATGTGGAAGGTGGGGGAAGGCAGGTGGTTCTCTCTTCCCACCAATTATATACATTCCAGGGAAAGAACTCAGTTTTCAGGTTTGGCGGCAAGTGCCTTTGCCTACCTAGCCATTTTGCCATTCCAACCATTTGTTTTTAACTCTGTTCTGGGAGCTGATACCATTCTACATCTGAAAATGATGGTACACCGTTATCAATGAAGACACAGGCTACTTATTATTTTCACAGCTCTGGGGCGACTCAGATAATCGGGTACTCCTGCTTACACTGCTGATTTAGCACAGAGCAGGGTGCTGGTTGCTGTGCCCAAACTCTAGATTGTAAAGAAGAGAGGCTTATTTAGGTCATGGCCCCAGATTTCAGTTCACGGCTGCTTGGCTCCCTTGTATCAGAGCCTACGGGAAGCCTGAGCATCAAGGTAGAAAGGCATCAGATCACAGTTTATTAGCTCATAGCGACCTAGGAAGTGAAAGGGAGACAGGATGGTTCCAGGGCTCTAGTGTCCCTTTCAAGGGCATTCCCTCAATGACCTAACTTCTTCCTTTAGTCCACACTCCTAAAGGTCCACCTCCCCACAGTTCTACAGGTCGCTAAGCATGCCTTTAGTATAGGACCTTGGGGATCATTCGATATCCAAAGTGCAACATAATGAGTCACCTTGGAGGATGTTCGCTGCCTAACCCAAAAGCCGCGTAGCAGACAGAGGGGACTAGAATCAGAAGCCCTCAGGGGATGTCTAGGCTCGTCATGCCTAGTCCGTTAGGCAGCAGCCTTCATGTCTGCCTCTTCCTGGCATACTGCTTTCTCATCTCAAGGGACCATGATGCCTTAGGGGTTTAGGTCTGTAACCATAGCCTGCCTTGCCTCACTCGGCAGTAGGAGTGGGTTAGGGTGCAGCTTGCCGCTGCAATCCCCGATGAACTGGAACGCGAAGCTTACTTTGTAAAGGGGGTGTCCATTTGTTCTCAGGGACTGAACATCCCAGGTGTGATAGACATAGGCCCGGTGGCTGCCAGCTCCTCCCTCATCATGGTATGTGGCAGACATCACAAGTCAATCCCCACGACATCTCCAATGGAGTCCTCATGATATATGTGTTCACTGAGCCTGGATTCATCTTCAGTCCTATGTCCAGCTACTTCTCTCCAAGTGGGGCTGGTCTTCTGATCTTTGTTTTAGTACTTTCTTTTTTATTAATTATTATTATTATCATTATTAGAATATGTGTTGTGCTCACATGTATAAGTATGTTGCATAACTGGAAGCCAGAGGTTGACATTGGTGGCCATCTTCAATCACTTTCCACCTTATTTTAGAAACTCACTCTGTAGACCAAGCTGGCCTCAAACTCAGAGATCCTCCTGCCTCTGGCTCTGTGCGCTGGGATTAAAGGCATGCCACCATCACCCAGCCTATTTCCCTTTCTTTAATGAGATCTATTTGTACCCATTGGTTCCTTATTCTGTATCTGACACCAAGGTCTATTCCCTTATTTTGCCACTTTTTCCTCCAGAGGCTGACCACCAACGTCCAGCTACCAAAATTTTGAAGTCCAGCAATCAAAAGTCCCATTTGGCTCACATAACTAACATGCCCAACTAAAATGAAACACCTCACCACTTCATCCTAACATGGGGTTTCCTCCTTTACTTTTACAAACTACCATTTGCCTTTGGACAAAACTGTAGTGATTATCATTGACTTAGCAGCTAATATCCACTCAGAAGTGAACTAATGCCATATTTCTCTTTCTGGGTCTGGATTACCTCACTCAGGATGATTTTTTTTTCTAGTTCCACTCATTTGCTTTTGGTAACTAGACTCTCATAGGGGACAAATTCATGAGGTGGGCATCAACCCCCTTAAGTTGGAACTGGACTTGCTCAGGACTAGAAACTGTTAGCACACACTGTAGTACCACAGTCTGGACACCCTCAGTCATCAACAGAGATGGGAAACTGAGCTCCTATTGTAGGCACCTGTCTGAGAAGCCCAGGAGTTGGGAGCTTGGCCAAGGAGGCTTCAGGGGATAATGTGCTTTAGAAAGCCTGTACCAGGATCACCTTCATCTTGGAAGAGCATCGGGGGCCTCAGCTTTTCACATGTTTCTGAGCTACGCAGGAGCCAGCAGGCTATGTAAGACACTACCACACAAAATCATCCCCTCTACCTGTGACTGCCAGGACTGCCACTTTAGAAAGAGAGGGGCCTGCTCTTGATCTCAGCCCCCTCCTTTAGCGCATGTACCCACTCTTGAAGGGATTGCAATAGGTCTAGTTCTCTGAGACTTCTTTGTGTAAGACCACATTTATTTCGTACCTTCTTACAATCATTCCAACAGACAAGAACAAGATGCAAAAACATTTTCTGAAGTTACTTGTTCAATATTCTGGTTGGTGGGATTAAAAAAAAACCACACTTGCACACGGGCCAGTGAGATAGCTCAGCAGACAAAAGTGCTTGCCATTAGCCCGACAACTCGAGTCCTACTCCTAGAACTCACATGGTGGAAGGAGAGAATCAACTCCTTAAAGTTGTTCTCTGACCTCTACCTGTGCATCACAGTACACATGTGCATACAGGTGCATACACACACACGATCACTTGTGTGCTTGGGATCAACAAATTGGGCTTTAAGAACTTGCATTGTATATTTCTGTGGCTCTCTGTATAAACCAAACCTCAATATTGGAAAGCTAGATCTTGGGACTGTTTTTTCATTTTTATAGACAACGCAGGCACAGTTATGTGCTAGGTACCCCAAGTAGCTCAGAGCTTACTGTTCTTTTATGGACAATGGGAGGTGTGATGTAGGTCAATACAGAGACCCCCCCACCCCCATGAGCTTTAGTCTTTGCAGGGAATGTAGTGAATGTGGTCCTGCCTCATGAGTAGTGCCCCTGGTCCCCCATTCCACCATGTTCCCATCACACCCATCTGTGCTCCTGCCTGCAGACCTCAGCATCCACCTGAGACGGGTGTGAGGTGATGACCACTCACCTTCGCACTTGAGCAAGAAGAAGTCCATGTTATGGCTGAAGGTTGCGCTGAAGTAGGTGCAGTTCTCCACGAGGTCGCAGGACAGACACTGCCTGTTGAAGTCATCGACTGTGTTGGCGCTGGAAGAACAAAGGGCCAGTGAGAACCGAGGCAGGGAATGAGCACTAGCAGGGACCTCTCCTCCGAGGCTACCCCGTAACTCCTGCTGCTAATCCCTTACGCTTTACTCCCATCAGCATCCTGTGGATACCTAACTCCACGTCCAAGGAGCCTTCCTAACTCACAGACTCTGGAGACCTCTCAGTCCTTCCAGTCCCGGATGGCAACTATTTGACCACCAGTGAAACTGCAGGCTAGGTGTGACCAAGGTGTAGGGACTACAGTTATGAATGCCACTGCCCAGTCTGGTTATGGGTACTATCACATGGTCAAGGCTACCATCGTCATCTGGTGGTGGTCATGGTTACTATCAACTGGTGCTGTCACGGGTACCCTCACCTGACGGTGCCGTGGGTGCTTCACCTAAGGAAGTCGTGAGAGCCATCACTTTGAATAATCAATCTTCGGTGCTTACAGTGGTCTTGGGCATAATTATAGAGAACTTTCCACCCATGTGAGTGGCAATTCGGGAGCAGTTTTGACTCCCACATTCCTTGAGTGCCAAGAGCAATGGGAAGGAGCTCTATGAACGTCAAGGGACTAGTACTGATTGCTTCCAGAACACAGTTCTCCTGACAGCGGAAGGGTGGAGATGTTGCTTCTTGCTTGGGAATGACGGGAGTGAGAGAGCAACTGAAGATGCCACCTGGGACCACCACACTCAGGTTTCATCTAGATCGAAACGTTCCTCTCTAAGCATATCTTTCAAGGTGGAGCTGCACCTCCTGTGACTGAAGGTGTCATAGGAGACAGATGCTACAGGTCCCAGGGAAGGGGCAGCAGGCTGCCTTCCTGCTTTTTATAAAGGGGGTAGCCTGACTTTCATGACCACAGTAGGCCCATAGTGGTGAAGTCTACAGAGAAAAGCAGGTCCATGATCGCAGGGCTCTGGCCACGCATGTCAGCTTTAAACTCAGCATGGAGCCCACTGGCTGGAGGGGAGACCTCTGTGCGCTGGGGACTTCTCTAGCGTCTCTGGTTCATACTGCCTGATGCCCCTTCCAGTGATCATTGTATACTAAGAAAGCAGCCAGCTGCAGCTCTCCTAGTTAAAGTGTCTAGAAACACCCATTGTTCCTTCTCCTCTCCCCCAAACTAACAAAAATCAAGTTTCCCTCTCCCGTGAGATCAGTAAGGGGGTCAACAGGATGAACTGCTGAGACGGTGACCTTAGATTTGGTCTCTTTCTGGGTTCCAAGCTTGTTTATCCAGTTTCTACATCATTTGAGGTCGTGGAACTTGGGCGTGGGGGGAGATGGCAAAGCCAGCCTCCTTTCTACTCAGCCACTGGTCGAGTCCCAGATGCAGCTGTCCTCAAAACACACTGATGGGGACAATCTGCCAAGGTAACACTTGAATATAGGGCAAGACAGGCAGAGTCCTTCAAGAGGAGAAAAGAAGTGTGTGTGTGTGTGTACCAATTTGGCCAAAGCAGAAATAGGACTTGAGGCCTTGGGTTGGGTGGCTTCTCTCCACACCTTCTAGTTACTCAGCTGCCCTTGCTGTCTCCTATCTGCAGCAGAGCTGTGGGCAGTGCAGCCAGCAGGCCTCTGCCGGCCTGGGAGTCAGTTACCTGTAGAGCTGTCGTCTCCGCGGCAGATCCTCTGTGCTCAGGAAATAGCTGTGGAGATGGGAAAGGTATACACAGTTAGCTTGCCTCAGGACACATGTGCAGGCCACAAGCCCTACCCTGGCACCTTCACAGTGTCTCTCAGGGACTGTGGCCCACATAAAAGCAATGCTCACATTAGGTCTGGGCACACTCATGATCACAGCAGGGGAAAACCAGATGCTACAGGCAGAGGGACACGCTGTCAGCATCAGGTACCTCCTGTCCTGGCCCTGGTCCCAAAGCTCTTGGTTCTGTGCAGCAGTGAGGGCAGCGGCAGTATACAAACAGATGTGACCATGGGTCAGTACACACCTAGGTGTGAACATGGGGTCAGTACACACCTAGAAGTGACCATGGGGTCAGTACACACCTAGATGTGAACATGGGTCAATACTCAACTAAATGTGAACATGGGGTCAGTACACACCTAGGTGTGACCATGGGTCAGTACACACCTAGATGTGACATGCCGTCTTCCTTTCCTACAGATTAGAAACCTCCTGATGGGCAAGGACTAGAGAAGACTTTATACGACCCAATAAAAACTTGTCTGGGAAATGCATGTCTTCTGGTTTTCTCCTAAGCCTGAGAGTGACCCCCGAGTGAGCAGCGAGGCCAAGAGGCATCAGGTATGGGACTGGGCCTGGACTCCTACACAGTAAAGCCCAGCTCCCCTCTGTCAGCCACTGAATAAGACAGAGAAAGCAGCTTAATGTCTTTTCACTTTGGTATTTATTTTTATTTTATGTGTGTATGTGCACATAGGTGCATGCATGTGTGCATGCAAGTATATGTATATACAGGTGCATGTGTGTGCGCTTGCTTGCAGAGGCCATGGACTGACCTTGGGTATCATTTCTCAGGATCTGTCCATCTGGTTTTCTTTTTCTTTCTTTCTTTCTTTCTTTCTTTCTTTCTTTCTTTCTTTCTTTCTTTCCTTCCTTCCTTCCTTCCTTCCTTCCTTCCTTCCTTCCTTCCTTTCTTTCTTTCTTTCTTTCTTTTCTTTCTTGTTTTTTCAAGACAGGGTTTTCCTGTGTAACAGTCCTGGCTGTCCTGAAACTAGCTCTTGTAGACCAGGTTGGCTTCGAACTCACAGGGATTCATCTGCCTCTGCCTCCCGAGTGCTGGGATTAAAGGCATGCGCAACCAATGCCCAGCCTGGTTTTGAGACAGGATTTCACATTGGCACTTGGCTTACTGATTACGTGAGACTTGTTGACCAGTGAGCTCCAGCACCCCACCTTCCCAGCACTGGGATTACAAGCACATGCCACCATGCCTGGCTTTTTATGTGGGTCCTGGGGATTGAACTCAGGTCTTCATGCTTACACAGCAAGCACTTTAACAATGGAACCAGCTTCCCAGCACATGTGTTAGTTTGTCTTTAAATGGGCAAGCATACCTATCCTAACAACCACCATAATAGTGAGAGCATGCTGGGCATGCTCTCAGCCTGTGCCCAGGTCTACAGGGACTCAGTAAACAGTTGATACAGCACGGCTATCTCTGTGAATTCATGTCGCCTCACTGGTGTGTACAAGCTTCCTTTTGTCACCATGCCTTGTAGCTTTGGCAGTTGGCTGAGACAGTACCTGGGTTCACAATGAAGCAAGGGTGAGTGCTATGATCTAGGGGGCAGAGGAGGCCTCCTGAGTTGTGCTTTTTCTTCTTCCAGTACATCTGACTAAAAACAAGTGCATCTGCTAGCAGTAAGAGACAGCTCCTGGGACCCAGTCCCCAGTTCCCACTCACATCTTGTTCCTCTTCTCATCATAGGACAGGATCTTGGTCACATCCCAGTCCCCAGAGGTGATGGATTGGATGTTGTCATTGCTGCTGTTAGGCTGAAATACAGACAAGATGTTAGGAGGAGATGCTGGGCTACAGCTTTGGTGCCTCACTCTGGAGCCTGTCAGGATGAGGCCATATCTAACCCCTTCCTACTTCTCTTTTGTGTGGCTTGGCTTGAATTCAGCATTGTCTGTGATGACTCTGATGCCCACTCCCTGGTCTGAGTGTCACTGATGGCAGTATTACTTGGTCCCTCTGCAGGGTTTGTCCCTGGTACCACATCCCACGTTCTACAGATACACATGTACTTGTGAATTTAATGTTTGTGTTAGGGCCCAGGATGGTGGAAAGAGAGTGTAGGGGAAAGGATGAAATGAGGCAAAACCAGGAAGGAGCTGGGAGGGATGACCTCAGTGTAGTTCTTCGGATCATCTCTGTCATTCTTGCTGGGGTCCAGGTGCCACAGGGACTGGCTGACTCCTCAGCTAGCGTACTTCTCAGGTGTCTCCCAGAGCTCTGTGCACTAGTCACTCAGACCTGCCATCATGGTACCAGGTGCAGGCAGCATTCAAATTATCAGCTGGGATGCTGAGGTATAACTGTGGACTGCTGTACTGAATGGCATATACTCTGGGGAGCCAGTGTGGTGGGGATAGAGCCTAGGTCAGGTGATGGAGGCCAACACTTGGAGCTGCAGACCGTGTGTGTGTGTGTGTGCGCGCACACACACGTCTGTGGATTCAGGAAAACAGTGCAGCCTCAGGCAGTCCTCGGCTTGCAAGCAGAGGCCAGGGCAAGAGTGGGTGCCTAGAGCCAGGGGGGTGTATCACTTTCTGATGGATGCTAAGGAATTCTCAGCAACTTCTTATCATCTGCAAGAATTTAGAAACTGGGATTGAATGCAAGCATCATAATTTTTAAAATCTTGCTTAAAATGGCCCCAGTGAGAATGTGAACAAATCAAATCAGGTTTTTTTTTATTACTTTTTATTTATTTATTTATTAAAGATTTCTGTCTTTTCCCCACCGCCGCCTCCCCTTTCCCTCCCCCTCCCCCAATCAAGTCCCCCTCCCTCGTCAGCACAAAGAGCAAACAGGGTTCCCTGCCCTGTGGGAAGTCCAAGTACCACCCACCTCCATCCAGGTCTAGTAAGGTGAGCATCCAAACTGCCTAGGCTCCCACAAAACCAATAAGTGCAGTAGGATCAAAAACCCATTGCCATTGTTCTTGAGGTCTCAGTAGTCTTCATTGTCTGCTGTGTTCAGTATTCTGTCTGTGTGTATGCCTACAGTCCAGAAGAGGGCACCAGATCTCACTACAGATGGTTGTGAGCCACCATGTGGTTGCTGGGAATTGAACTCAGGACCTTTGGAAGAGCAGGCAGTGCTCTTAACCACTAAGCCATCTCTCCAGCCCCTCAAATCAGGTTTTAACATCCTGTAAGTCATGTGATTAAGTGACTAGAAAACAGAAATGTCTGCCTAAGCCGGAAGTAGTCATCATTCCGACCCAAGACATTTCAGGGTCCTTCTTTCCTCCCTCCCAGATATTCCTTGAGGGGATTGTCCTGTGGTCTTTCTTCTGGGTCCACACCGTATGCATGTACCTCTCATTTCCTATCCACAGTGTTTCCAAACAGCCTTCTTCTTAATTATATCTTACATACTTGCTCCCATTCTTCATCACTTTAATTAACTTTAAAATAAAACTTGCACACAGAGGATGGGGCTGGTGACACAGAGAGCCAAGTACATGCCCACCATCCATCTCAGGGCAAAGATCTCAAAACTCAGTATCCAGGCAGCTATTCCCATGGTGACCGTGCTTGTAGGCAGCATTCCCAGATATCCACTTCCCTGCCCAGCAGCACTTATCCTAAGTCACCTGACCAGGACAAGTGAGTGTGAGTGGCAGCTACAGTATCATTAAGATCAGAAATGCTTCTGGCTCTTGGTAGCGGCAGCACTGGGGTTAGGGGGAGACTTATGAAGGACCTGGAGCAGCAGCCTTGAGAAGGGGGGTGTCAAGAAGGACATCTTGAATCCTCATTGCTAGTTCTGGATTCCTCTGTTGTTGCTAGGAATGTCATATCCCATGCTCATGGTCTTGACTCCAGCCACTGCCCGGCTCAGAATCTCTGCATTTGGACAAATGGCAGGCTGCCCTCATCCTTGGAAGCCATCTGTGAACATCAGCCTCCTGGGCTCCTTAGGGTCCCGGGGGTGAGTGTGCTCACCATGAGGCTACTCTACCAATAGCACAATAGCACATAAAGTAGTGGAGTTTACCTGGGAGGATGACACGGTGATGTGGTAGAACTTCCCCCGGCCCCCTTGTGGGATCGCTCTGACAAAGAAGAACTTGCGGCCGTCCTTGGAGAACACAGGTTCTTCATTCTGTGGACAGAGGTGACCTGTCTGTCAACACAAGCCGATGGGAGCATGTAGAGCGAGTATGGGGAGGGGCACCCTCAGGTATTTCATGTGTGATTTCTAATGAGGGAGGGAACTGAAGTTGGGGGTTCTGCATGTGGTTTTCACTCTCTTTGGGACTAGAGAGTGGGTTTGGGTTTTCTAAAAGCAGAGGGAGAAAGGGGCAGTAAAGGGCACCCAAATTCAAAGAGCAGGGCTGGAGATGGCTCAGTTGGCAGAGCGCCTGATGTACAAGCACGAGGACCTGGCTTCAGATCACCAGAACCACGTGAAAAGCAGGGAGCAGCAGCAAGAGTCTGCGACCCCAGTGCTGTGGGAGCAGGGACAAGTGGATCCCCCATGTTTACCGGCCAGTCAGCCTAGTGTGCTTGCTGAGCTTCAGGTTCAGTGAGGGATCCCATCTCCAAAATGAGGGGGAGACACCTGACATCAGCCTCTGGCCTTCACATGCACACACTCATGTGCACACCCGTGTACACCTACAAACATGTGCATTTACTGCCCCTCCACACACTTGCAAATCACATTCCGCGGCAGAGTCAGATAACACTGCTGCCCACAGCATGCAAAGATCCATGAGGAAGTGGGCTTTGGCACACGTCAAGCACACCTCAGGAGTGGGAACTAGGCCCGAAGACACGCACTGGACTTCAGTCGTTGCTGTGAAGGCCTGAGCATGCAAAGCTGCTGTACTGACTTTTGCCGCACAAGAGCTCAAAGGCAAATGGGAAGAGCAGTCAGAGACAGTCAGAGACAGCGCTCTCCTCTCTTCTAGTCCTGTCTTCTTTCCTTAATAAAGTCTCTCTCACACTGATTTACCCATTGAGGGGGCATGCCCAACGGATCAGTTGTATCTATTTTAATACAGCAGACAGCAGACAGAACCCTTTCGGGCCTGGCTCTTGCTAGGGACACCCCAGAGAGGCAGGTGCTAGATGGTGCATCCATTTGAACAACAGTCTCTTCATCCTGAAATCAACCCTGGGGTCAGGGCGACCAGCTGAAAGTAAGGCCTGAGGGGTGTCCTGCTACTGTGCTCTATTCCGGCACCCTAAGAGTGAGCAGGCAGGTACTTGCAGCCCTTAGCCCGTCCTGTGGGGAGTGGCCACTGATGGGCAGAGAGAGATTCTGGCTCGGTAGCATCTCTTCTACACTCTGAAGCCAAAGTCTGGAGGTTTCCGTCAGTTAACGCCAACTAGCTGGCTCCTACAATGACGCAGGTGTATCTATATTGTGATTCTGGAAGTGCCTGCTAATGCAAGCTCGAGGACAACCAGTAAACAAAACGCAGCTGGCCCAGGAAAAACTCATTTCCCCACAGTGAAGACACACATGCAAATACGATGTGCTCAGAGCAATGAACTAACATGTGATTAAAATGACATTTAATCTTCATGAATATTTGCAATAAAATGAAACCTTTAATCTGCAAATATTGATTTTTCTATTTAGAGCTGGGAGTGTGGTATTTAACAGGAGAGGGAGTGGAAACGAACAGCCGTTAATTTGGCTTTTGAGATGAACTTCTGTTTGCCAACCGTGGATGGCCGAGGCAAGAGCACCCTAGTTTTCGGAGGGACATGTTTGCACTTTGGACAAAGATTAAATGTAATATGATAAATTCTGCACAGAAGCATGGTACTCATATTGAAGAGGCCTCAGCTTCTGAGGTCACTGGCCCACTGCTCTCCAGAACCTTCCAGAATGTGCCGAGGAAGGCATCCGCCAGTCTTTGGAAACCCGCTCATGTAGTAAGTGTTTGGAGACTGGATGTCAATCTCGACTGTCCTCCCTCAGGATACTGTCACCCTGTGTTCTGTGACAGAGTCTCTCACTGGCTGGGGGTGTGCTGATTTGGCTAGGCTGAATGGTCAGTGAATTCCAGGGATCCTCCTATCTCCACCTTCCCAGTGTCTGGATTGCAAACTTGTCCCACAATGCCTTGTGTTGTTTGTATAGATTCTGGGGGTTGAACCAGCTCTTCATGCTCACGTGACAAGCCCTTCACTGGCTGTGCCATCTCTTCAGTTCAGTAATGACAAAGGGCAAGGCTTTTTTGATGTGAGCACCAGGATTTTTGTTAAAATATTTATTTTTTTATTATGTATACAATATTCTGTCTGTGTGTATGCCTGAAGGCCAGAAGAGGGCACCAGACCTTATTACAGATGGTTGTGAGCCACCATGTGGTTGCTGGGAATTGAACTCAGGACCTTTGGAAGAGCAGGCAATGCTCTTAACTGCTGAGCCATCTCTCCAGCTCCTGAGCACCAGGATTTTAATACCAATTCTACCTCTTCTTTGATGTTGGGGGAGTCTGGTTTTCTGGCTGTGCTGCCTAACTGGCCCAACTCTCTCCACAGCCAGCCTTCCAGTCTCTGCGGCTCCAGGAAGGAGATGGAAAGAAAAGAGCAGGCGATGAGGTCTGGGCATGCGATGGCTATGGTCACCGAGGCCAGTAGCACTGCTGTGGTCCAAACACCCTGCTAGCAGCACAACGGGGAAACTTGTCATTTGGAGCAGACAGGAACCCCCCGGGTCTACAGGGTCTCCTGGGATGTGTGCGGGAAGCTGTTATAGAGCATAGAAGGTGGCTGGATAGTGGAGTATGGCCTCAGTGGATCTCCCTAAGTCATGCCTGTGGCCTCTGATAAGAACTGCTCATGATCCTGAAGGGGCAGCCAGTGACTTCCTGGCAGCTGATGGCAGCTCAGCCTTACATAGGCTCCCATGATGCCCTGCAGCACCACAGCATTAAGGATGCAGAAGGCTTGCAGATCAATTCCAAAATTTCCCTTTAGGGGAAATTGATACATCGGGAAAATATTTGAACTTGGATTTCTCTAGTGCCTAAGTGTTATGACCCCCTTATATATAGAGTCTCAGATCATGGTATGTGGGCAGTCAGCCTTACTGAGGCTTGTCATGGCAGCCCTGGCCAACTCGCAGGGTTCAGGACCATGGTGTGTAGATAGCCTCACTGTGGCTTCTCAGGGCAGCCCAGGATGGAAACACCTGTCTTTGAGTGCCCTTATAGGGAACATGGTGCTTTTAATAAGCATTTACTGAAATGGGTGTTCACGGCACTGTGCCTTCTTTAGCTCTGGTTCCTCTCACACTTAATGCGATTGCTTCTTCAAATATCAGCTACTTGCCTGGTTAATTGAAAATTTACATTTTAAGACAGTAAAAATAATTAATTTAACGCCGCTGTTCCTCTGTATTTATGTCGCTGGTTCCCCGAGCACTGTTCAGGGGTTCAGCATTCACACCCAGGTCTGAGCTGGTGGCTTTCTTCCGCATGGTGAGATGTCCAGTCAGAAAATATAGGGAAATCCAGATGGTGTTGGCTCTGTGGCCGCTCCGCCATGCTGAAGAGGAAGACAGTGGACAGCTGCAGGATCTGTCCCCAGACCCCCAGGACGGCATGTCTGTGGAGGCCGAAAAATGCAGGCCCATTTCCACCTTGTCTGACAGGGGAAGGGCGGTCTTCAGAACCTGTGACCTAGACTATAGAATACTAATGATTTCATGTCTCAGAGTGATAAAGCGATTGGCTGTGTAGTTGTCCTACGTATCATGTTAACAAAGTTTTTTTTTTTTTACGTTGGGTATAAAAGCTGTGGAAAAATAAACACAGGGGATTTCAGGCTTTCATTCACCGGAATGCCCTCCTGGTGCTTTCTATAGTTTCTGTCCTGTTATTTTTTTATGCGTCTTCATATTCTTTACTTATATTTCTAAAATTCTCATGGCCCTACCTTGGTAAGAGGTGATTGTGTCGAGGGCAGTGTATTTATACAATGGAGTATTAGTAGACCTTGATAAAGGATTGACATCCTGGTACATTCCACATGTAACATATGCTGATGGAGAGTAAGCCGATTCATTTTTTATAGCTAAAATTCTTTAATTGACAAAATTTATATTTATTCAATAAAAACATGATTTTGAAATATGTATGCACTGAAGAATGACCAAATGGAGTTAATGAATGCATACATTATATCCTTCTAATTTCAAGCATAGTTGGAATCTACTAATAAATCTCACTTTCTTTAAATTTATGTCTACAAGCCTGTATGAGTCTATGTGCACCATGGGCCTGCAGAAGCCCTTGGAGGCCAGAAAGGGGGCATCAGATCCCCTGGAACTGGAGTTACAGATGGCTGGTGAGCTGCCATGTGGCATCTGGGAATCAAACCTGGGTCCTCTGCAGGAGCAACCAGTGCTCTTAACCACTGAGCCATCCCTCCAGCCCTGTGTAGATATAAAGAACACAGCACATTAACGGCTGAACCGTGCTGTGCATTAGAATCTCCCAAGCTGACCTGTCCTGAAAACAAGCTGAAACCAACCAACAGTCCTGCAGCATCACCCACTCCCAACAGCTACCGATCTGTCCTTTGAAGGAGAACAAGCAGTCAACTGTGGTTAATCTGACCGCCAACTTTCCTGGATTACGAACCACCCAGAACATTGGTGAGGTACAACTTGGGGTCTGTCTGTGAGGTGTTTCCCAACAGGATTAACTGCTGGAAGACTCTCTGTGGGTGACACCATCGGTGGTCTGGGTTCCCAGCCTGAATAAAGAGAGAGAAAGGAGGAAGCTCACTGAGTACCAGCATTTATCTCTCTGCTTCCCGACTGTGGATACAGTCATGTGACCAGCTGCCATGACGTCCTGCCATGGTGGATTGTATCACTTCAACACCTAAGCCAAATAAACTCTTCCTTCCTCAAGTTTGTCAGGTATTTTGCTGCAGCAACGAGATGAATAACCGACGTCCCGAGTGTCCACCCTCCGTGCCGGCTTCAGCCACTTATCTGTATCCTCTAGTTTTATCCGTGTTTCCGTCTTCACCTCCCTGTCTCTTGATGGACAGTCAGGTAGTCTTGGCTGTTGTGCACTGTGATGTCGTGGCACGGAAGTCATTTCTGTGTCATACAGAATGTGACATGCACCCAGCAATGGGATTTTAGTTTTAGCTGTTTGAGGACCCTCCGTGATATTTTCCACAGAGATGTTCCTGAATTACATTCTTGCTAATTGGCTGTCAGGGTTCCCTGCATCTCCGTATTGTCGCTAATACACATCTTTTGTCTTTTTGGTAACACCTGCCAGCTGTGCGGTTATTTCACTTTGTGACTTCACCCTGGTGGCGGAGAGCATTTTCAATGTATCTTTTGGTCATTTGTGTCATCTTCTTTTGAAACACGCATATCAATTTTTTTCTATTTTGACAGAGAGCTATATATAATTTTCTAAAATTGAGTTGTCTCTTTGGACTGTTGAGATGGCTCAACAATTAGGAGCACTGGCTGCTTTTTCCGGAGACACAAGGGGGGTTCACCTCATAAGGCAGTTTACAACTACCTGTATGTAATACCAGTTCCAAGGGATCTGATATCATCTCCTGTCTTTTGTAGATATTGCATGCAAATGGTGTCATATATGTGTGCTCAGGTATACACATACATGTAAAGTCAAATGTCTTAAAAGTTTTGAGCTGTTTCTATTCCTGATATATTTAAGTATTAACCTCCTATCTCATGTGTATTAGTTTTTAATTTCTGTTGTAAAATGACCTCACGAAAAGCGACTTCAGGGAGGTTTATTCTGATTCAGTTGGACAGGACATCCCAGGACAGTATGGCAGCAGGAGTGTGAACATCTGTCCGCACAGCATCCGCAGCCAGGAAGCAGAGACCATTGAGTGCTGGTGTTCAGTTTATGTCCTCTTTGTTATTCAGACTAGGGCTCTAGCTGTGGAACGGGGCTGCCTGGTTTTGCAGTGGGTCTTCACTGCACACTGGGGTTGCCTGGTTTTGTGGTGGGTCTTCACTGTGCACTGGGGTTGCCTGGTTTTGTGGTGGGTCTTCACTGCGTACTGGGGTTGCCTGGTTTTGTGGTGGGTCTTCACTGTGCACTGGGGTTGCCTGGTTTTGTGGTGGGTCTTCACTGTGCACTGGGGCTACCTGGTTTCGTGGTGGGTCTTCGCATGTGCCCAGAGACCTGTCTCCAAGGGGATTTCAGGTCTTGTCAAGCTGACCACCAATGTCAACCACCACAGGTTTAGGGCTTTTCTACTTCTTTGTAAAGTACCCTTAGACTCTTGGTAGGGACGACAGGGCATCATGGGCTATTCTGGATAGTGTGGGCTTCTTATTAATGTCTATCTTCCAATCTACAAACACAGAACATCTTTTCATCTGTGTCTTTTTTCAATTTCTTTCACCAATATTTTTTAGTTTTCAGTGAACAGATCTTTGACTCTTTGGTTAAGCTTATTCCTAAGTATTTTATTATTTTCACAGATTTTGTAAAAGGAATTGTTTTCTTTTCAGATTTTTGTCTATATGTAGAAATGTCACTGATTTTCAAAAATTAATTCATTCCTTCATTTTACTTACTCAGATAAGTGACAAAAGATATGTGGTCACAAGAGCGCCAGAGTATACGTAGGTACCCAGGAGGTTTGAATAAGAAATGTCCTACACAGGCTTAAGTGTTTGAACATGTGGTCCTTGGCTGGAGGTGGTATTTCCAGGGGAAGTGTGTCCCTGGGGCAGGCTTTGAAAGTTCAGAGCCTCACCCCACTTCTAGTGTACTTTCTCTCTTTGTGTTCCTGGCTGAAGACGTGAGTTCTCAGCTTCCTGTCCTTGCCACATGTCTCCCTCTGGCTGTCAGGCCTCCCACCATGATGGATCCTTATCCCTCAGTAATCATAAGCCTAAATAAGCTCATTCATAAGTTGTTTTTGGCTATTGTGTTTCATCATAGCAACTGAAAAGTAACCCATACAGGGGCCACTGGTGATAAATGGATGTTCAACAAATCGGATCTCCGTGCCAATAAAAATACACACCTGTGCTTCTTACTCATAATTCCTTTATATTCTTGGCTGTGAGTGGAGCCTGGGGCTTTGGGCACACTAAGCAAGTGCTGAGCCACATCCCTAGCTCTCTCTGTGTAATGATTCTTTGAATTTAAACCTGCTTTGATTTTTCTAGAATGATTTGAGGATAATTTTATTGTCTTGGGAAGAATAAAAGAGAAAAAAGTCCTCTGAACTTGGTCTAATGCAAGAATGTTGGAATGAGACGAATCAACAGAAACATTGGGCGAGGTGTCACTTTCTGGGTATGTTATGCCAAAAAAATGCATCACGGGGAGATTTGCCTAAGTTTCTCCTGGTAGCTCTTACTTTTAAGGCTTCATTTAATAAAAAATTGTGTGTATTTGTGTGAGTATGTGCACGTGAGTGTGAGGGCCCTTGGAGGTCAGAAGAGGGTGTCTGACCCCCTGAGCTGGAGTTACTGGCCGTTTTGAGCCACTCGGCGCTGGGGCTGCATTATGTACCCCTGTCCTCGCCAAGGGCAGGATGCGTCTTACCCACTAAGCCACCTCCCCAGGCCCTCCTGACCCGCTTTGACTGATTCTTGTTTTCAGTGCTGGGGACTGGACGGAGAGTCTCACGCACATCGCATAAGTGCTTTACCAATGAGCCACACCTCAAACCCCCAACCTCTTTTCATCTTCGGCCTTCAGAGCTTGCTTTAAGATGCCTTTCTGAGTAATGGACGAGAGAAAAAATCTCAGGGATGATTCTGGGGTCCAAGTTCCTGAGGAAACGTCTCACCAAGAGAGGCCACAGCTATAAACCATGCCTAAGAGTGGATGGGTGAATTGGAGTACCAGCCACATCGGTATCTGCTTGCCGCTACACACCACAGCAGGGCACATTATTCTGAGTTCACCAACTACATCATCTGAGTGGGAGCCGAGATGTTCATCATTACTGTCCCGAGGGGCAGTGACCTCCAGATTACCCCCCCCCCCCCGCAGGGAACTTGGCTTCTACAGAACTGCCTGGCAAGCATCCCGGGAGGATGAAGAAGAGGCGACTGTGCACACACTGCCCCAATCACAATAGCAAACACACTTGGATGATCTCAGGTGGGGATCCCCAAATGACTCCTGCATATGAAAACTGTGGCACCCTGTGGAGGGTTAGGGCAGTGGTTCTCAACCCTGGGTCACAACCCCTTTGGGGCATTGAATGGCCCTTTCACAGGTGTAATCTAAGACCATTGGAAAACACAGATCATTACAATACAATTCATAATGGCAAAATTACAGTTATAGAGTAGCAACGAAAATAACTTTATGGTGTGGGGGTTCCCACAACACCAGGAACTGTAATAAAGGGTCGCAGCATTGGGAAGGTTGAGAAGCACCAGGCTAGGGGGTCAGGGTGATGGGAGCATGGTGTCCGGCATGCGGAATTACCTGTCTGTGGAGCCAAGCTTCGCTTTCATCCTCGTGTTTCTGAAATGGAATTGGAGCATTAGAAAGGCGCTTTTGTTTGCCTGCACGCACCGCACCATACAGAGAATGATTTAATCACACCTACATGGCAACTGCGCTTGCACAAAGTGGCACCCAGGCCTCTCAGTGTAGAGGTAATCCCTGCTCTCTTTGTCCCATACTGTGGCTCACAGCCCAGCACAACCGTCCTCGGGCAAGGAGAATGCCACTGTCCTTCACAACCAGGGCCATCCACAGCAGTGAGCCGACCTGTGGAAGCTGATGGTATTTCTAATACTCGGTGATCACCACTCGCCAGCCTGTGCCCAACTGGCAGCCACACTAGCTGGGCATGTGTCTACTTGGCCACTGCTGTTGATCAGTATGTTCCTTCATGGGCAAGTGTCAGGTGCTGCACTGCTTGGAACTGGTGTGTGTGTGTGTGTGTGTGTGTGTGTGCACGCGCGCGTATGCCAGTGGGAACTGTGATCAATATTCCAGTTTACAATTCCAAGAAACAATCATGGAAAACAAAGCCAGTTAAAATGGGTCAAAGCATGCATGAACGTTGCTCCCCGGAGCCGTGAGCAAAGATTTATAAAACAAATCATGTCCTAAGCACCAGGTGGCTGCTTTGCTCAGTTGCTGCCACCCGAGGTGCCACCAGCCTGGGGCTGGTCCCGCACTGTCTGTGGCAGCGAGAGTGGCTGCTTCTACTGCATGGTGGCCACATCAGGACAGGCACTGAGAAGATTCGAATGTTCAGCACAGATATTGAGCTCTGAGCCCTGCCTGCCTCACCCTCCCCTTCAGCAAGCCTGTCAGAACAACCCAGAGGAAATATCAACCCAACAAGGTGTCAGAGGCAGGATCAAGTCACTGTGACCTCCTAGAGACGCCCCCCACCCCCAGCAGTGTGCTGAGAGCTGTCTGGTGGTGTCATAGGTCTAAGTGAACCTGCCCAAGCCTGGTGTTCCTTGCTGGAAAATAGAAACTTGGGGTCAGAGCCGTCTCTGGAAGATCTGCCTGGCATTTCACTTGGTCTTTTGAATTCAGTATGAGGCGACTTTCTTAAGGCTGTGGCTCAGCAGTGTGGAAGGCTGGCCTACAGAACAGAGGGGAGAGTCTGCTGCCCTGGACAGGAGGTAAGGGTACCCTGGGCTGCCTTCTGCTTCGAGACACACTGCTGGTCTGCCTACCTGTGTGGGGCACCTGACTCAGGGGAAAGGTATGCTTGGACTGAGACTGAGCTGGGTCGGGTCCTGGACCAGTCCTCTCCTCTTTTGGGAAACAGAGAGTGAGGAGAGTAGTGTTCCCAGCAGAGCAGTGGCCAGTGTGAAAGGAAACAGACCCTTGTCTGCAAAGTCCCCTTAGTGGGATTTAACGGCTGCTGCTCTGATCTGCCCAGGGAGTTTGTAGCAATACCTGTTTTGACCACCAGGTGGCACCAAACCAGAGGCTGGACATAGCATCAATGACCAAGCTGAGTTAAACCTGATTGGAACCCACCTTTTATGCTATAACCATTCCTTTGCCCCCTCCTCTGTCCCCATACCTTAGTGCAGACACCCGTGGTGGCGTCACAGAGGGTCAGAATGGACACATTCTGGGCTCGGTTCAGCCAGGTCACAGCGACCTTGGTACTGGTGGCCCACTTCACCATGGTGATGTAATACTCCCTGAAAACAAAGACAAGAGTGTGAGCAGGGGCAATGGACACCATGACCTGGCCACACTCCACTTCTGAACACAGCAGCCAGTGTGTGTGGGTGCGGGGCTCTGAAGTGGCCTCATCCAAGAACACAGGTGAGTCAAAGCCTCATGGACAGCCTAGAATCAGGGTGATCAGTTAACCCTCAGCACCTGCCTGCCCCAGCTGGGCTCTGAAACAAGATGGGGACAGTGGGGCTGCCCTGCCAGTTATGTGTGTGTGTGGAGAGCAGAGTCAGTCACACGCTCTCGCTGGGGCTCTACTGACTTCAATTTCACGGCACAGGCTTACCAAAGGCACAACCCTACAAAAGCTGATTCACTGGGAATGCAGGGTGGAGAAGGACCTGGCAGAGAGGTGGGGGTGGGGACTGAGGGCGAGGGAGGAGGGGCCTTGAGTGAGGGGCAGTGCAGGGGAGCCTCAGAGGGCTAAGTTTCAGAGGCTCTGAGGCTGGGCTACCGAGGGTTCAGTTTTTTTTTTTTTCACTCTTTAAGGAAAAAAATACCCAGGATTGGGGCCAATGGCTCTGGTCCTGGGCTTTGGAGAGCTTAGTTTGGTTTCACGTGCTGGATTTTACCCAAACCTGAAATCACCACCATGCGCAGAGTGGTCTGATACTAACATTGGGAGGGCGGGAGGCTTGTGCTGATTAATTCTATCACTCAGGATGCTCCAAGGCTAGAGTGCCCCACTTTATATGGAAAAGGAAGAAGAAAATGTCAAGAAAGTAAGTGCCCCAAATAGGTATCCTCAGGTGACTTCCTAGATTGTTCTAGAAGCCAGCTAGCACGTTTAGTGGCCTGCCTGTCCTCTATAATGAGATCTGCTGTTGGGAGTGAGCACTTGGTGCTCCTATAAGATCTTTTATCACAGGCAACAGTGGCATACTCACCAGGCACTCCCGGTGAACTGGAAGAAGGCCTTGCTATACTTAGCTTATGCTCCACAGAAAGGCCTGAACGAATGGGTACTTGCAGCAAGACCTCCACTAATCAGGAAACCAATCGCTGACTGTTGCCCATTCCCCAAATCGACCTGATGACCATTTCCAGTCACTGAACTGAGAAACAGGTCAACCCCTCCAAACAGAAGATGTGACTCGCTAGGTAGGGGTGAGAGGGGCCCTGGAACTGCCCCACACAGTCCTGGGGAGCCTCTCAAGGCCTTGTGGGTAAGGAATACATCACATCTATACTCATGATTTCAACCTTCTGGGTCCTGAGATTTCTAAAGCAAGTTCATGCCATCTGTTCTCTTGCCTGCAGGCCCAGTGGATCTGGATCTGGGCACAGCGTTTATAGGGTCTGACTCCTCCATTGTCCTGTCCTGGTACCTGCTGTGAAAGACAGTGTGTCCTTCCAGCTACACACCCTAAAGGGTGCTCCTGTATTTCACAGCCTCTTGATGGGGCATGTGAAGACTGAGAAAATGCCCCTGCCAGACTGTCCTTCGGGCAAGCTTGTGGTACGTTTTATTGGTTAATAATTGATGTGGGGAGGGTCCATATCACTGTGAAAGCTGCCACCTACAGGTTGGTGGTTCTGGGTGCTGTAAGAAAGCTGACCAAGCAAGGCACAAGGAGCAGGCCAGTAAGCAGCACTTCTCCACTGGCTCCGCTGCAGTTCCCGCCTCCACACCCCTGCCTTGAGTTCCTTCCCTGATTTTTCCCTGGATGATGGACTAAGAACTGTAAGGTGAAAGAAACCGTTTCCTCCTCAAGTTTCTTTGGTCATGGTGTTTTATCACACCAGCAAAAACCATAACCAAGGCATGCTATAGAAAGATCAGGCCTAGGAGTGTGTGCCTGTAGTCCCAGTACTGGGAGGAGGCTCCCTGGGGCATGTGGTCTGCCAGTATGAACTGGTGAGCTCCAGGTTTAGTGGAGACCCTGTCTCAAAAAATTAAGGTAGCAAGTTACTGGAAAAAAAACTGATATGACAGCTGTACTCCACACACACATGCACACATGTATATATATACATGTGTGCACACACATGCATTCACCTTCACACAGGTGTGTACACACCCACTTACCCCCATATACTTGTGCACACACACATTCCCCCGTATAGACACACACATGTGTAAACCCTCCCATGCGTGTGTGCACACACATGTACACACATGTACACACATGCACACACATGTACACACATGTACACACACTCATTGCCATACATATACATACAGCAGATGGAGGGTATCAGCTTGAAGCTCCCCGAGGATGAACGTGTGCTTCTGACCTCTTGGGTTAGCTGTGCACAGGCAGCCAGGCAGTGGGTGGGAAGCTACATATAACCATCCCGACTGCCAACAACACTACTCATGTGGGTGATCAAGGAGAGAGAATGAGGACTCTGTAAGAATTGCCTCTCTCACGGCCTTCCCACTAATGAGGGACCTGTCCCTGTTTCAATTGCTGGCACATTCATTATGCACCACTTGGTTATATAAAAACTTCTTACACTAGTAGTCAAATGCAGTGACCCTTATTCTAAACTTCCTATTCCTGATTAATATATGAAGCACTAAAGTGGAAATAGATGAATGAACGCAACCTTCTCTTCTGGAAACCAACTCATTAGCAGGACTTACAGAACAGTCACTAAAAAAATTGTCCTCAAGCTGTACGCTATGGGTGGGGCTGGACTGGGCACTTCTGGAACAGGCCATCAAGAACTGTCACCAGCCCTTGATTCAGGGCTCAGGGAACATGGCTGAAGAGGGGGAAGAAAGAGCCTAAGAGGTGGTTGGTGATGGGAGTTGTCAATGCTGACTTCTGGGCATGGTGCTGTTGCAAGCATCAAGGCACAGCAGCTGTGCTTGCCTGCACAGGATCCGCACAAGATCAAGCTAGCCAGAATTCCAATTAGGGGCAGGGCCCTCATGGCCTCATCCTGGGCAGATAAACTATTAGCCACTGAAGGCTGGGAGGGAGTCACTTTGGGGATGTGACTGTTAACAGGGAGTCCATGTCCCAGTGGATAGCTACCACGTATGCTTGCACCATGGGCAGCACAAATCAGACTCAGGGCTTATTAGAAACAACAGGAAAGGAGGCTGTGGTGTGGGACACTAGTGGAAGTTGGAGGAGACAGTGGTGGATAGATATGAGCAAAATACATTGTATAAATATATGAAAATTTGACCAAACTATAGGTCTCCATTTCCAGCCCTGCCCCTAATCAATGTCCTTTGAATGTGCAAATGCTTTGTTAGACAGATGCAGTACTGTGGAATGAAAAGAAATTAGCAAGCAGTCAAGGGAGAGGACCAGAAAGATGGGAAGTATAACCCTTCTGAGGAAGTTGGGGCTGGACCTGGCACAGAAGGGATGTAGCTTGTTTGCTGAATCCTCTTCTCATTAAGTGTTCTGGACAAAAGTACACGGATACAATATGGGATCTTTCTTTCTTTCCTTCCTTCCTTCCTTCCTTCCTTCCTTCCTTCCTTCCTTCCTTTCTTTCTTTCTTTCTTTCTTTCTTTCTTTCTTTCTTTCTTTCTTTCTTTCTTTCTTTCTTTCTTTCTTTCCTGTCTGTGTGTATGCCTGCAGGCCAGAAAAGGGCACCAGATCTCATTACAGATGGTTGTGAGCCACCATGTGGTTGCTAGGAATTGAACTCAGGACCTTTGGAAGAGCAGGCAATGCTCTTAACCACTGAGCCATCTCTCCAGCCCTGGGATATTTCTTATTTCTTTGGCTTAGACAGCTTTGTTGAACCTGTTGCCAACATTCAGATCTGGAGGTTCCATCTCCTTCAGACAAATTTCTAGATTTCTTTGAGTGTCCAAGGAGCACACTTTTGTTTTACTATTTTATGTGTGTGAGAGTTTTGCCTGGTGCCTGCAGAGGCCAGAAGAGGGCATCAGTGCCCCTGGAACTGGAGTTACAGATGGCTTTGAGTTGCCATGCGGGTGCTGGGAATGGTACCTGGGTCCTCTGGAAGAGTCGTCAGTGATCTTAACTGCAGAGCATCTCTCCAACCTTGGGTGCTTCTTAAAGCCTGCTCCATGGGTGCACTTGTGAATGCTGAGAGTGTATTCTCAGGTCACTGCCTCATTGATGCAGAACAGTTCTCCTTTCCAGCCCCTTTCTTTGCAGGAAGCACTCTGCTGGGCCCAAGCTGGAAAGGTTTCTGATGGTCTCTCTAGTCTAAAGGATGCTATTTACTCACAATTACTCACATAGTACTCAGAGCAGATGCTAAGGACAGCAGGGTTCTACTTAAATAACTGTAGGCATTGATGGGCAGGCACTGGCTTACAGGTTCAACGGAGGCTGGATGAGCAGGTCTTTAACTTCAGCTCAGGGACTGGTACTAAGGAGGAAGCAGGCTCTGCCTGGGAGCATATGGGAAGGGCACTTGCAGCTTGGCTAAGGAGCACAGAGGTGCTTGCTGGTGAGCACTGGATGAATGTTTGATTAGCCCACTTATCTGCCATAAAATATGAATGGATATTGTTTCTCTCACAGGGATTAATGTACCATGTCACTTTTGGTTTTTCTGGGATTCCGATACAGGTTTTGACAGCCGGTGGCAATAAAGGGCAAAGGGAACAAAGTCCCGTGAACTCTTGCATCTTAAAGCAATGTTTATTTCGTGGATCAAGCTGGAAGAGAACACACTGTGGGAGGGGCATCTGTGTGGAAAATGGTGTGCTTCAGTAGAGGGCAACCTTGAGCAAGTTGTCAATGCTGAGCACAAGGCTGCCTGCAGTGAAGTTCACGCCCTGTCTGTGTCGTCAGAGTCATCAGGCAACTATTAAGATACATGCAGGCCCTCTCTGTATTCTAGTCTAATGCAGTCAAAGTCTGTTTGTTTATCATGCTGCCTGTCTGTCCACCCACCCGTCCATCCACTCATCATACTCTTGTCTGTCCATCATCCATTATTCATTCATTGTCATCTACTTCTTTCTGTCCATCCACCCACCCATCCACCCACCCATCCATCCATCCATCCATCC